TTCAGTGGAACCATTGAGAAGGACAGTGGGGCCAGGGGTAGAATACAAACAGAATTCAAGGTCATGATACTAGAGCAGAAGCTTAAGAGATACAGATGCATCATCAGGTAAAACCTAATAGACAGACTGTATCCAGAAAGAAGTGGTAGACAGAGATAGCCTTCTCCAGGGGATCTTCCTGACCCAGGGATCAAACCTGGGTCTCCTACACTGCACGCAGACTCCTTACCATCTGAACAACCAGGAAAGCCCAAAAATAGCCACAAGCAGAGACAAAAGAGATGAACAAATAGCTTGTAACATGCAGGGTCATAACAAACCAGTGATAAGAGCAGACTTGGAGCTTTTGGTTAAAAGCATGGGCTCTAGAGCCAGACTGTCCAGATGGGTTCCCATCCCAGCTGGATCCTAATCTCTAACTGTGGGTGGTAAGTCATTTAATCCTTTTGTGCCTCAGTGTTCCTTTTGTGCCTCAGTGTTCTCCTTTATAAAATGGAAATGATGATGATAATAGGATTATCCCATATGAGTGTTTTCAAGATTAAATGCTCAAAGATGCTTAAACAAGCAACTAGCATGTAGGAAGCACATGATAAAAGTTACTGTCACTATTTTTAAAATATGAGGGCAAGAAAGCCAAGGCACCACATTCAAAAATCAACCCTTGAAACTAACTCTATTCCAGATCTCTACCTACAGTATCACAAATGACAAAGAAAAGAGAAAGAACTGGGCTTGACATCATGAATGTATTTGCAAAGCCCCATCACCATACAGATCTATGACAGCAGTTCAGTAGCATCACCTTTCTTTATGGAGCATATACATTTATACATTGATTTTGAAGATGACAGCTTTTGTGCTCCTTAATCTGTAGTGATTGGCATATTGCCAATAAGAAATAAATAAGTCAAGGACATTGTGTTTTAAACTTAAAATGCGATACAGACTCCCTGTTACAAGGCAAATTCTTCATTTCCAATTGTTGACTCAGATAATACTTTAAAAAAAAAAGAATTTCAGCTGTTTAAATTTAGCATGCTGAGAAAGACCAATCTTAAAATACTGTTTGGCATTATGCCCATAACATTTTCATTTTATTCCTTGTTAGTATTTGTCTTCTATGATGAGACGACAAATGACAGTAATCATGTTATTCTCCTTAACACTTCAAATTTTACCTAAATGAACCATTTTGCTTTTATCCTCACCAGTTAAAGATGGCCTTTCATTTCCTGGCAAATTTTCAGAAGGTGATTATGCAAGAGCCAGTGATATTTCCAAGCACTGTTTTACCTCTTCAGTCATCATCTGGTCTTTCTCCCTACTTTTCTTTGAATCATCATTTTTACTCTTAAACACACATACATGCACACACACGCAAAGGAGATTACCTGAACACAAGGCTAATCTAATTTTTATAATCAGACCTATTTAAGGAGATATTTTGATTCTCTGCTTTATCTGTGCCTTTAAACATCCCCACCCCACACACAGCCCAAATAGCTTGTTTTTTAGAGTTCCTCAGAGCACAGAATCTAGACAAGGTCTCAGCCCAGCCTCCAACCATGTGATCTCCTTATTTTACTCCCACATTAACTCCATCATCGTTCTTCCCAGCAAAGATGCCCTCGGCTTCATTTTCATGATTCATGAAGCCAGAGCAGAACACTGAAATTGGAATTGTAAAGTACGCCAAATTTGGTTTTGGGGTCAATTTAGGTTCCAATTTAAGCAGATTCAATCTGGTATCAGTAAAGCTGAGAGTTCTTTCTTGACTGATATAATTTTTCAAACACTCTGAGCCCACACCATCCATAAAACAATAAGCTCATTCCACTTGATCCATGGTAGAGTACCGTTGCAATAAAACAAAGTGACAAAGTGATGAAGAGTTGGAGCTAGTCACACTTGAGGGCTAATCCAAGCCCACCATTTACTAAATATGTTCCTTTGGTAATTTGCTTATTCCCTCTGGGGCTGAATTTCTTATAAATGGGAGAGAATGCCATCTCTCTCCTGTAGCTCTTATCCTATAAGTGAGAAAACATATTCAAAGTGCTTAACCTTTAAAAGGGCAAGACAGGGGAAGGTACAAACTACTTGGTTTAAAATAAATAAAATAGAAAGGTGTAATATACAGCTCGGGTTATACAGCCAACATTTTAGAATTTTTAAATGGAATGCAATCATAACAATACTGAACCACTATGTTATACACTTGAAACTCATACTGTAAATTGACTACAATTATAAAGCAAATAAACAAAGTGCTGAACCTAAGTCCTGCCATTACTGCACTCACCATAACCAGGAACTTCTTATGGTTTACATGGTGAGGAAGCCATACATGCAAATAACTTAAGGAGCTAGCAAGGAGTTGAACCTACTTCACAGTCAATACCCAAGGATGAACAGGTGCGTGGGATTCTTACTGGAGGTCATATTTTGTGTTGGTGTTTTGCAAGAGCAAGAAAATGCCATAGATGCAAGCGAAACAATAGGAAGAGGCTTCTCCAATATCTCGTCTAGAGCTTCCTCCAGGCAAGGGCTTCTAAGCTAAAGGTGTTACTCTTGTAAAGAGAATAATGCTAGAGTCCAAGCATACATAAGTACAGTTCTATTCCTGAGTCCAGCCAGGAAGAGAAGCACCCAGGAAAGGATATTCTTAAAATATCATTTCAAGCCTAGATATCAATATCACAGTCGTGATTGGTAGGCAGAATAAGATTGAGGGACCAGATGATCTTCGTCTGGCTTGTCTGGCCACAACTCTTCCTTCTTTCACGTGTGCAGGGAAAAGCATGAGTCACAGGATACTCGTCTAGTTCAGACTCTGTTCCAGCAAATCTTACCAATGGCTTAAACTTTAAAATAATTATTTTATTCCAAAAATGGCGAGGTTTGTTTACCAATAGGACAACCAAAATACCAAGCAAAGGTATTCCCCAAACTTAATACCACCTGCCTAAGTTTTTTCTTTAAAGAAATCCTGAAGGATTCCTATTCAATCTAAATTCTTAACAGTTTCAACCAGGCTCTCAGGCTGATTTTTATTCTCTTTAGCTAAATTCTTGCAGAGAAGGCAATGACAACCCACTCCAGTACTCTTGCCTGGAAGATCCCATGGATGGAGGAGCCTGGTAGGCTGCAGTCCATGGGGTCGCTAAGAGTCAGACACGACTGAGCGACTTCACTTTCACTTTTCACTTTCATGCATTGGAGAAGGAAATGGCAACCCACTCCAGTGTTCCTGCCTGGAGAATCCCAGGGACGGGGGAGCCTGGTGGGCTTCCGTCTATGGGGCCACACAGAGTCGGACACAACTGAAGTGACTTAGCAGCAGCAGCAGCAAAATTCTTGAGGTTTGGGTAATGATTTATTCTAGAGTTATCTGGGAACTACTTATAAACTCATCACAAACATATTCTTACAGTCTTTGTATAGATGTGTTTTTTTTTTTCATTTTTGCGAAAAACTTTAACCACCATCATGCATGCACTATCATAACACATATATCCCCTGGATTATATTTGACTTTGTGATATAAGTTTTTTTGCACTGAGTAATTATGCATGTATGGGATGGATTACCCCCAACAAGCTGGGTATTGCGATAAGAACACAAATATACCTGGAGATCCCTAAGTGTAGACAAAGTAATTAAATTATATTCAGAATATGTTTATAATAAAACAAGACTAGGTGCTTAGAGAAATATTGATAAAACTGAAAACTAAAATATTTGGAGATTATTAAACTAAAATAATTGGAAAAGTCTGATCTTTTGTTTCCTCTTTTCTAATAATGGAGAATTCAGATTACTTTACATTTCACAATAGTTGCTTCATAAGGTTTTGACACCCGTTTCCACCTATAGAATTTATGGCAGTACTTGAAAGTGTTCAGCTCAAAATTCTGGATTCTGTTTTGGATAACCTCTGCTTTTCCATTAATAGTTCTTGGAGAAAACTATAGTAACATAGTATTGTCTTCAACGATCCTGTAGCTAAGTCTAGTATTTTTGTGACATATTCTTTCTGCTGGAAAGAGTCCCGTTTTTTTCTCCATTATAAAAATCTAGTCAGTGTAAAAGAGGACCTGGTTAGAAATACCCCAGTGTTCTTAGATTATTCCTGGTTTCCTTTTTGAAAAAGACCTTTCATGTTCTGCCTGTATTCACATTCATTTGGTCATTTGCTTTACAATGGTCTGACCTGTTTCTACCTCCTTTTAAAAGTTGGTTATCTGCAATTTGAGCAGCCAGTAGAAGTCATTTTTTTTTTTAAGTTTTTTTAAGCCTTTTTTTTTTTTTTTTTTTTTTGCCAGTGAACACAATGCTGCTTGGATCTAAGTAGAAGTCCATGTATGCAATAAACCAACACTTAGAAATTTCAAAGAAGGCACCGTTTAGCAAGTGGAAGAGATTATTGCAGTAGTAAGAAAGTGGGGGAATCCTGTACCCACTATAGAGTACTTGAATGTTTCTCATATCTTCAGTGTCACCTAGCAATTATTTAAAGACCTACTTCACCTCTTAAGTAAATCAAAGACTCTTGTTTTGTTTGATGGTTACTTTACAGGTTAGGAATAAGTCTGGAATGAAACTTAATTAACTGGGCATTTGAAAATCTAAGCCAGCCTCCTCACACATTTTCTGTTGAAAATGCAAGCTGTTATCCATTAGTAACTTTCAGAAGCCCACTCTCTTAAGTAAATCTAGAAAACGCATTTACCAGTGGTGCTGCCGAAAATCACCACAAACAGGGTGCTTCCTGCAGACCTACCCGACAATCAGTGTCCGTAGGCACCTAACTGAGAGTAACTCGATTACAGCATAACTAGGACAGAAGTCAAAGACACAAAGCGATTTAATATCTCGTGGAGAATCCAAAGCTCTGCTTTTCTAACTTTCCTCGCCATTTCTGGTCAGCTTCCCTTCCCCCCGCACCACATACCCAGAAGCCACTCAAATTACCAGCCGTGTCGAGCTGAACTTACTGCAGTGTGATGCAGGCGAAGCCTGGCCACAGCTCTGAAGCCAGAGCGACTGCTTTTCCGGAGAGGAGCCGGACTCGCCGGCTCACAGGATCCCTTCCAATTCACACGCTCCGCTCAGTCAGAAGGCTCCCTCACAGCTCGGCTTCCCCAGAGGAGTGGAGCTTCAAGAACTCTGCTCACAGCATCTCCTCCTCTCGACTTCCACCCCCCTTCCAGAACACCCGGCCCAGTCTAACTAGTGTCTGAGAGATGGAAATCCACTTCCAGTCAACAACACGGGCTGCCGGCAGCCTCCCGGTTCCTGACAATTTGCAACTCAAAACCCGCGGAGGCTGAAAGCTGGAGGTTTCCGGAGCCTCCAAGTCATCTTTGGCAGCCCCCTCCCCACGCCTCACTCCTCCCACTTCCCCCCTCCTCCACCGCGGCCGCCTCCAGGCTCCCACTAGGTATCACGGATGATTATTTTATTACCCATACCAATAAGCATCAGGAGGAATTTGTCAGAGATGAAATACCTGTTGTCCATGACTAATGCTCTTCTCTCGTGTCTTTGCGTCCTTGATTTATAGCAAGATGCGTTGATATTGAAGTGTGTGTGTGTGTGCGTGTGTGTGTGTGTGTGTGTGTGTGCGCGTGTGTGTGTGTGTGCAGCGAGGAGGAGGCGATCCACGCAGCGGCTGCAAGCAACAGCCTTGCCTATCTCTGGCTGCCGCTTCTACCGCTGCTGTTGCTACTACTGCTGTTGGAACTCGGGGGAAAGGAGGCAGGAGACGGTGCTCCAGGGCTATTTCACTGCTGGAGCAGTTATAAGACAAGGGAGGAGGCTGGACAGGTAGAGTGGCTGTCGTAGAAGCTCTGAGCTTGATTCACCGCAATTACTACCATTCAGAATGCAATTCCCCTCCAACAGGAAACCTGATACCTGTCTGCCTCTCGCTTCAGCCAACCATAGTCCTTGATGGGTCATTGTTCATCAATGACCTGCCTAACCCACTTCTGAAAACTAGCAGCTGCACTCTCTTTCTATATTCGGACTTGGTAACCTGGGAACAGGTGATTGGGGGATGGATGAGGATGAAGGAAACGATGGGGGAGAGTAGGCCAATATTAAAAGAGTTGTACATATGTCTAACCAATTGGGGCACAGGTAAAAATGAAAGTTCTGAGCTATGTGTTTAAATAATGCATGGGGGGGTAATAAAAATATGTCGGTAAAAAAAGCATGCCTGCTTTACAAAATGTGTGCAAAGCCAGACAGTTTTTAAGGAACTTATTTAACAGCTTAAATGCAGAGAATGTTGATATACATGCCCCCCGGGTGTCTCTCAGCTCCCCTGTGATACATCTACTGTGATTTCAATGTGTTAATACCACTGTCGGCTACAAATTCTGGTGAAACCTACTGGTTGCCGCTGTCTATGAATGTTCCCTTTCTCCTCATTGGCTGCTCATTCCCTGCCCTGTTATATCTCCAGATTATTCTCACATAAGGTGATATGCAACAGAGTTTATAAGTTAAAGAGGGTCTCCAAACCCTCTAAGACTAGAATACTTCTTAATGACTAAATGTATTTGCTATAGACTGTCTTCATGTTCTTGTTCTGTAATAGGATGGGAGACTATGAACACACACGCACGAACATGCATGCACATGCCTTAATTGAATATTACTTTTAATCTGCTTTCAGCATTCAATTTTCTGACCTAAAAATAAACTTAATTATTTTTTATTTTATTAGTAATGGACACCTTTAATTATCTCTACCTTACTCTGAGCAATTTTCATATATGCCATACATTTTCCCAGTTGTTAGAGATTGTAGAGTCAGGATTAAATTGAACAGATGTTAATGAAAAAAAAGGAAAAGCCCCTGGAAATACAACAGGGAACCCAGAAGGAGGGAAGAAACCCAAAAGGATTACATAGTACATCTTTTCCTGATCTGTTTACATTAGAAAAATCTCTGCCTTTAGCAAAACAAAGCCCAGTTAATGTTCAAAGCATTTCTCAATTATCCAATAAGTATCAGTTTTACTAAACCAACCCAACTACAATTATAACAAAAAAAAAAGTTTTCTTTTAAAAATCATGCAATACAGTAAATTCAGAGTGTCTACAACTTTTCAAACGTCAAATTCTAATGAAAACTGATGCCAAACAGCCACATATTTTTGCCCCAGTTTCTGTTTGTCTACTAAATATCATACAACATGTAACTGATATTAAAAATCTGGAGAGGAGAGTAGATTGAAAACATAGACACTATCATACGTAAAATAGATAGCCAATGGGAATTTGCTATATGACGCAGGGAACTCAAACCAGGACCCTGTGACAACCTCAGGGGTGGAATGGGGTGAGGGGTGGGGGAGAGGTACAAGAGGGAGGGGCCATATGTATACCGGTGACTGATTCATGGTGATGAATGACAAACCAACACAATATTGTGAAGCAATTATCCTTCAATTAAAAATAAACAAATTAAAAACATGATAAAAAATGTGAAGCGTAATTCCACATTTCCTATTTATATACAATGGAACCTAAGGAACTAGGCAAAAATAGTGGACATCACTTAAAGACACATTTGATACAGAGACTAATTTTATTCCTAGGTGATGTGATGTGAAGTTATCCTGCCCTTCAAATCCCATAGTTTAGCAATATGGGGTGGGGCGGTGTGGGGGTAGAGCTTTACTTTTACTCTCACTTTAAAATTCAAATATATTTAGGAAGAGTAGTTACATTGTAAACATTCTTTAGACAGAGAGAGAATTTCTTAGATATCTTTATTACAGACAAACAGGAAACTAAAGATCCAGTCTAGATAGAAAAGGAAGAACCAGGAAGAATTGAAATAATTGATCATGAGCACTTAGTTTGGCTGGCTTTTAAAAAATTGCTTACAACATTAGTGAGATTTAAAGAAGAAACCACTTTTTTAACAAGACTACCACACAATCCCCAAGGTTTGATAATGGAAGAAGAAAAATTTTGGTTGGGGATTGATGGCTGATCCTTATCTCTGACCCTTGTAACTCAGTATTTTCCATTTTGGAGGAAAACTTAAAAATAACTGCTTTATAACCTCATGCCCATTTCTCTAAGATGCCTCTTGGTCCCCAGCTCTAAATTTTCAGAAACCTCATAAGGATCATTGTATACTTACTTAATCTAAAAAGATAGTGATAGAAAAATGAACTTGTCCTATAAATTCCCATTAGTCAAAAAAATCTACAATTTATGGGAATACAGAAAGAAATAATTTCTTAACTTTCAACTAAATCTCTTTTACTATAGAAACATGTATTCTCAAATTAAATTCAGTGATTTAATAATACTCATTCACTGCAAAGAAAAGCCAAAGGTCAGTAAACCTACAATGGCAGAAGTCCTGTTTTTCTAGCTCACTCATGTATCTCTGGAATCCATCAAAGTGCTTAAAATATGTGTATGCATAGTAAATAGTTGTTGTTTGTTTTTAATAAATGAGAAAATGAGTCAATAAATTAGCCTATGAATGCAGGGCATTGGAAAGATAAGTGGACAGAGAATAAAGATGTTTAAATTCACCCAGCCCTTACTCTGCTGGTAAATAACTGGTGCTTTAGGGAAGTGACTCACTTGTGGTTTCAAGCATCCTTTCAGGCGTATCACTCAGACCCCACAAAACTGTAATAAATGCCTGTCCCTAGTACTTCGCCAAAATGGTTTTTCTACTATACAAATTCAATCAATAAAATTCCCTAAAATCTCATTTCCTGAGCATTGTACAAACCAGTAACAACAGGACCCATATAATCTCTAAGAAACACATGGTTTTCTCCCACTTTTGACTCTTAAATCTGCAAGTGGTCAAGTGAGTACTGGGCCAGATGCTTAAAGAAAATAGGATGTTACACACTTAAGTGTGTGTTTCTAAAATAATAGTCCTGAATCGGTGATTACATGCAAGACCTTTGTTGACATTCTACAAACAGAAATAAAGTAATTCGTATACAAATAAAAAAATTATGAGAAGCAGAGCTTAAATAATGTAATACCATAGATTACTTACAGTAAATATAAGTCCGTGTTCAATCACAGACTTTTATGTAAACTGGTATTTAAAAACACCTTGTCATGTTAATTTTATTCAACAAACATTTACTGAACATCCATTTACTGCAAAGCATTGGAAAGACAAACACAGTCCAACTGTATTTAAAGGACATATGGCCCCATAAAAAATGTATTCCTACTTTGCAATTAAAAGTTTTTGATTTAAGCATATTATGTTTTAGAAAAATAAAATAGCTCAAACATATCAAACATGATTTAAAACCTAGCCAAATTTGACTTAGGTGATGAAAGGAGAGCTACCTCTTAAATTGAGCAGACTGTCACATGGGGAATATTCCACTGGTTTCCAATCCGTGAATCAATAGACGTAGGCTGGGAGGTTGGGGAAGATCCAGAAAAAATACAATCTTATGGAATGACTTTAAAAAAGTAATAATCACAACATGCTGGCTATGGACAGGCCCTTGACCTCATCTAGTTCAATTTTCATATTTTATAGGCTAGAAACTAACATCTTATTTCATCATGGTTTATTGCTGGGAAGGTTATTTACCAGTTTCTCCACTATGAAGGAACAGCACAGTGTTAGAGATGGGAATACCAGACTATCTTCCCCGCCTCCTGAGAAATCTGTATGCAGGACAAGCAGAAGTTAGAACTGGACATGAAACAACAGGCTGGTTCAAAACTGGGAAAGGAGTACATCAAGGCTGTATACTGTCATCCTGTTGATTTAACTTTTATGCAGAGCACATCACGGGAAGTACCAGGCTGGATGAGGCACAAGCTGAAACCAAGATTACAAGGAGAAGTATCAGTAACCACAGATATGCAGATGACACCACCCTAGTGGCAAGAAAGTAAAGAGGAATTAAAGAGCCTCTTGATGAAGGTGAGAGAGGAGAGTGCAAAAGCTAGCTTAAAACACAACATTTAAAAAATAAAGACATGACATATGGTCCCATCACTTCACAGCAAATAGATGGGGAAATAATGAAAACAGTGATAGACTTTATTTTCTTGGGCTCCAAAATCATTGTGGATGGTGACTGCATGATGCAATTAAAAGAAGCCTGCTCCTTGGAAGAAAAGCTATGACAAACCTAGGAAGCGTATTAAAAAGCAGAGACATCACTTTGCTGACAAAGGTCTGTATAGTCAAAGCTATTGTTTTTCCAGTAGTCATGTAAAGATGTGAAGTTTGGACCATAAAAGAAGGCTGAGTGCCAAAGCACTGGTGCTTTTGAACTGCGGTGTTGGAGAAGACTCTT